CAGCTTTATTAAGATTTGTTCATCTTACATTTGTATCTCAGAGTTTGAGATCTTGTTCTTTGCATTTTGGATGTATAATAATTTGGAAAATTCAAGTCGATAGTCACAAAGAATTTTTTTTATCTAAAATGACTTAGTCGAGATGATAGGGAAATGTAAGAGGAAGGTGCCACTTCTTTTGACTTCAGAAACAAGAGAGGGGATTGAATTTCTTATAAAATAAAGGCCAATAAGCATCCCAGCAGAAAATGAGCTCATCTTCGCAAAACCAACGAGAAAGTCACTTGGCTTGAGAGTGGGTGATTGCCTAAATGATACCCTAAAAAACATCAAGACTTGAAAGCATCCTGAGGCAATCACCTCCACAAAACTTAAGCATATAGCTACTATCTCTCAAGCAGCTGCCTTGACAGAGACTGATGTCGACTGGCTGGCACGTCATCTTGGGGCATGACATAAGGGTCCACAGGGACTTCTATCGCATCCATGAATCCACAGCAGAACTGGACAAAAGTCAGCAAACGGGTAATCTAAACCAGATGAAAGAAATTGAAGCGTCAGGTATGTAGTTCTTATCTTTTGATGGGATCAAGTCTAATTTTCCGTCATGACAATAACAATATACTCATCATTCCTTACTACTTCAACCAGATATTTCTGAAGTCCTGGAGAACTCAGCAGAAGTTAATGAAAAGTATTGAGTGCTTTAAATATCCCAATTGATGAATGCCACACAAGACACTTATGTCACAAAAAGTACTATAATAAATATCATAAGGGTTTTCAAGTTTGAGTGGTTAAACCTTATGTGGGTCAAAGATGAGAGAATAAAACTGAGATATGTATACACCTACTTGCGAAAACGTTGTCATAAAAAATAGGACATTTGTATTTTAGTAAAAAGGAATAAATTAAAAAGACAAAAGAAGATCACTGAGGCCGAACGCTTTCTTTTGTTTTGTTTTAATTTATTCCTTTTTACTAAATTCGAATGTTCTATTTTCTATGACAACGTTTCTGCAAGTAGGTGTATATGCATGTTGCAGATTTTAGGCAGGTATTTATATAAAGGTACATGAACATGCGCTATCATATACAGTATCCATCATTGTGTATGAAACACATGCCATGGTCATGCTCGCCATCCCCTTATTGTTCTAGCTAATAGTACATGAATTATTAATGAGTTATTGGCATAATTTAATGAGTAGATGTTAAAAACTAAAAACAATTAATGTATTTGTTCTGTTCCACAGGAAAAATGTTCAAATTTCCATCGTCAGTCTGTTTTTTAAGAAAACCAAGTTATTCCTGGACTTTTCAGTTTTCCACTAGCGATGCTATTGGATTTTTAATGTCCAATTCTGGATAACCTGTCAAATTGATCGTATGGTTCAGAAAACCAAGTTATTCCTGGATTTTCAGTTTTCCACTAGCGATGCTATTGGATTTTTAATATCCAATTCTGGATAACCTGTCAAATTGATCGTATGGTTCAGAAAACCAAGTTATTCCTGGATTTTCAGTTTTCCACTAGCGATGCTATTGGATTTTTAATATCCAATTCTGGATAACCTGTCAAATTGATCGTATGGTTCAGAAAACCAAGTTATTCCTGGATTTTCAGTTTTCCACTAGCGATGCTATTGGATTTTTAATATCCAATTCTGGATAACCTGTCAAATTGATCGTATGGTTCAGAAAACCAAGTTATTCCTGGATTTTC